TGACATTCCCATCACCCAGCCTCTCCCGCCGCCGCCGCAGCCCGATCGGGAAATTATGCGGAAGGGGGGGAAGGAAAATTTCCATAATCTTCCTCTGCAGGATGAGACCGAACTGGGCTGGAGCCGAGAGGTGACAGGGAGTGCTCTGTCCCCAGCCGGCAGTGCCACCACGGTGTCACCCACCCTGCCCGGGTGCCTGGCCTGGCTGGGGTCTCCCTGCATCCCATCAGGTCCTGGATGTGTCAGGTGTCACCCCTGGGTCACCACTGGGGACATCGTGGGGACAAGGATTCATCGTGGATTTTGCACAGCGTATTTTGCACAGCTTTATGAAGAATATTGTGATTTACATCTCTGATTCTTTGCAAATGAAATGATCCTTGAAAAAAAAAAAAATATGTATACATGTACATAGGAGCCTTTTCAAGGATATGGACCAAAACTGGAACACACAAAACTGGCCCTACCACCTCCCAACAGAGCTGCAATTCTTTGCTACTGTGCCTCTACCTTAAATTTACACGTGGAAATATAAAATCGAGAAGCTGATGGAAACAAGATACTCAGTGAGTATGCACTGCTCTCCTAGGAGAAGACAAGGAGGACACGTGGGGGACACACAGGGACAAGACACAGCCGGCCTGTGTCCCCAGCCAGGGCAGAGCCCCTGAGGGGGACAGGGGGGACATTGGGGTGTGTGTCACCCCCCAGCCCCAGGTTCTCAGAGCCCCCAGAACAATCGGGGGCAGGGCAGGAGCCCCTCCCCACGCTGCTGCTGCCCCTGGCTCCATCTGGGTGCCCTGCCCGGGCAGGATCCAGCCCATCCCTAATTATAAGAAATATCTGTATTCCAGAGCTTCCCGCCGTGCCCGATGCCTGCAGGAAACTTCCAGCCCGGTTTCCTTCTCCTCCCTGACCTCACCTCCCCCCCAGACCCTTCCCCAGCCCCGTGCTCCCCATTCCCCAAATTTGCTGCCTCATTTCCGGGGCATTTCCATGAAAACAGGCATTTTGTTTCCTGGGATTCAGCTCTGCCTGCTCCCCCCTCAGCCTTTGTCCTCCACAAACGCGGAACAGAAGGGGGGAGAGGCAGGAAAACCCCACGGAGCCTCCAAAGGGGCGGTTTGGGCCCCAAAGTGCCCCTGAAGCTGCTCGGGGCTGGGCTGATGGATGGGCTGGGAGCTGCACCAGGAGCTCTGCACGCAGGAAAATGAGAGAGAAAGGGGAAAAAAGAGGGAAACAGGGAGAGATTCCTGTCCCTGCTGGTGATAAATGCTGCCAGCACACGGCAGAGAGGGCAATCCGCCTTGCTCCTCCGTGCTGGGGAGAGGAATTCTGCTAAACTCGGGCAGAAATCAATTCCTGCTGCAGTTTGTGCCCTGGATCTGCAGGGAACGTGTCCTGTCGTGTCTCTGCTCCCTCTGCCAGCTCCCGGCTCAATCCCGGCTCAATCCCGGCCCAATCCCGGCTCCGAGGGACTCGGGGCTGGAGGAACAAACCAGGGGCAGCACGGTGACAGTGACAGTGACAGAGGGACCAGCACAGTGCCACCGCCCTGGGAACGGTGTGGGGACATGCTGCTCTGTGTTTGTTGGGGAAAATCCACCAGGAATTCCCTCCTGGAAGGAGCTGCCCAGGCGGGTTTGGAGCGCCCATCCCTGCAGGTGCCCAGGGAAGGGCTGGAGGTGGCACTCAGGGCTGGGGACAAGGTGGGGACAGGGCACGGAGTCACTCCTGAGGTGGCACTCAGAGCTCTGGGCTGGGGACAAGGTGGGGATGGGGCTTGGATTCACCCCTGGAGGTCTTTTCCAACCTGATCCCAGGATTCTGCCGGGCACGGCTCCATCTGCCACACCCCAGGCATGTGGCAGCCACTCGTGTCCCCAGACTGGGGCTCACCCCCCTGGGATGTCCCCGTTCCCAAGGACAGGGACACCTCCCATGCTCAGGCCAGCTGTGGGACCCCGAAACTGAGCGTGGCCACAGAACCATGGGATGGATTGGCTGGGAAGGACCTTAAAGGTCACCCCATTCCACCCTTGCCATGGGCAGGGACACCTCCACATTGTGCCACTAGGTCCCTAAGGTCCCAAACTGTGTCCCCAGGTCCCACATGGTGCCAACAGGTGCCCAGGTCCCTCATTGTGTCATCAGGTCCTACACTGTGCCACCATGTCCCCCAACGTGCCACCAGTTCCCTGAGGGTCCCACACTGTGCCACCAGGTCCCACATCATGCCACCAGGTTCCCCGATGTGCCACCAGGTCTCCCAGGTCCCCCAGTGTGCCACCAGGTCCCAGAAGTCCCAAACTGTGTCCCCAGGTCCCTCGTGCCATCAGGTCCTACACTGTGCCACCAGGTCCCCAATGTGCCACCAGGTCCCCCAGGTGCCCCAGGGCCCAGGTGGCACCCGCAGCTCCTGCAGGGGTGCTGGGGACGATGGAACACCTCGGGGTGGCTTTGGAATCTCATTTTCCCTCCAAGGACTCCCTTTGGAGCTGCTGCAGAAGAGGAGGAGGAGGAGGAGGAAGGGGGAGGGTCCCCACTGACCCCACAAACCCCACACACCAAGGGGTTCAGGGCACCCCCAAACCTCGAGGTTCAACCCCCCCTGATCCTTCCACAGCGCTTCCCGAGCAGAATCCGGGGGATTTTTCCATCTCAATCGGCTCTCGCAGGGTGAATTAAGGCCGTTAATTGAATTTCCTCCGGCGGCGGAGCCGGGCCGGGCCGGGGGGAGGCGGCAGGAAACGCATTTGATGTCTCAGAAAAGCTGCGGATCCCGAACGTGCTGGGGTTTGGAGCTGGGATTTTTTAATTTTTTAATTTTTTTTTTTTAATTTAATGTCGGTCGTAAAAAGAGCCTGGCTTTGAGGAGCTAACGGCTCTCATGAATTATTTTTGTTGATTTAGGCGCCCACTCGGCTTTAAATATTAATTAATAATATTATTTATAATATTTATATAATTATATCTATCTATATATAAATATAATTAATTATATATTTATAGTATTTTTATATATTAGATTATATTTATGTACAATATATAATAATATGTGTAAAATAATTTCTATATTTATAATATTTTATATCTTTATATAATAAATAATAATTATAATGTATAAATACTTATTTATATATTTACACTATTTATATATAATATATTTTAATATAATATATAATATAATTACACTACATAAATAATTATTTATATATTTATAATATATATTAATAATTTATAGTTTTATATATTATATGATAATTATAATATGTAATTATATATATTTGTAATATTTATATAGAATAGATGCATTTATATATAATATATAATAATTATGGTATATAAAAAATATTTATAATTATTATTAAGGAAGGACAAGGGCTGCCTTTCCCTGCGGAGGGTGGCAATGACGCTGCCCCAGGGGTGCAGGGCAGGGGGGGACAATCACCAGCCCCTTCCCCTGCCCCAGGGTGGGGCCAGGCTGCGTTTTGGGACCCAAATGGGGGCACTGGGGATGGAGAAGGAGCCGCTGGGAATGTCCCCTCCCACCCATAGGGACAATGGCTCAGGGTGCTGGTGGCCATCAGGGTCCTTGCTGGGATCAGGGCTCCTTCACATCTTCATTAATGACACAAAAATGGAATGGTTTGGCTGGGAAGGGACCCCAAACCCATTCCATTCCTCCCCCTGACACCTCCCATCATCCCAGGCCGCTCCAAACCATCCAACCCCGGGACACCACCAGGGATGCGGCAGGGAGAGCCTTGAGGTCCCTCCCAACCCCAATCTTTCCATAATCCCATAAAACCCGGGGATTTTGGGGTGCCTGGAGGGTGCCTCAGCCCCCTCGGTGTCAGCACCCCGCGCTGGTGCCAAACCGGGCCCTTTTCGCGGCACTTTAGTTTTATTGTCATGCCAAAAGCTTTAATTCGGGGCTGTCGTCCTCCCCCGCCGCTGATTTACGCCGCCAGGGCTTTAATTACAGCATTCAGCATTTCTGAAAACATGAAAAAGCGCTCGGCTTCGGGAGCAATTAAAAGGCAGCGGAGTAGAGCAGCCCATCGGAGGGGAGGTAAGTAAATCAAACAATTAAAAAGCTCGATTGTGCCGGGGGGAAGGGTCACCCCCCAAAATCCTCTCCTGGGGGGAGCCCTGGGCTGGCAGCTGCGGGTGTCACCCCAGTAACCCGGCTTGGGCTGATACTGGGAGCACTGGGAGGGTGTGACCCCATCCAGCATCCCTTGGGAACATCCCAGCACCCCAAAAACCGGCCCAAAACCCGCTCAGGGCTTGGCAGGACCGGGATGGGGATGGGGACAGTGACAGGAGGGGGATGGAGATGGAGATGGGGACGGCGATGGGGACAGTGACAGGCTGGGGACGGGAATGGGGACAGGATGGGGATGGGGACAGTGGCAGGACGGGGATGGGGATGGGGACAGTGACAGCGACAGGATGGGGATGAGTACAGTGACAGGATGGGGTTGGGGACAATGACAGGATGGGGATAGTGACAGGATGGGGATGGGGACAGTGGCAGAATGAGGATGAGGACAGTGACAGCATGGGGTTCCTTCTCCTCGCCACCCACCCCCAAGGATTCTGCGCGGCGTTTTGGGGTGGTTTGCCCGGCTTTGGGGTTTTCAGCGGGATCGAAGCTCTCTCTTGTGGCAGAACCGCTCCATTACAGCCCTGCCCGGGTTACCGAGCGCTGGCATCGCCCAGGGCTCCCCGGGACTGAACCTCGGACGGATCATCCCCGGAGGGGTTCTGCGGCTCGGGGAACTGCCAGCAGCCCGCCATGCTCCCCGTGCCCGGCAGCTCCCGGCCGTGCCCGGCTCCGGGGGGCTGGAGGTGCCCGAAATCTCCTCCGCAGCCGCCGCCGGTCCCGTTCGTACCGGGGCTGAGCCCCCGCCCGCTCATCGCAGCCACCACCGCCACCCGAAGCTTTTTGTCCGCCGCCCGCGCCGTAGGAAATAAAGCCCCGGATGCGGAAGTGCCGCGCTCATTTCCGGTTTGTTCTCAGCGGTTGCGGGTGAGCGATGGCGGCCGGGGGGACCCGGGGGGGGGCCTGGGGGATCCGCCGCCATCCGCGGCCTCGCAGCACCGGGCGGCCCCGGGGTGGACTGAGGCGGAGGAGGGAGCGTGGGGGCACCCGATGGCGGGCGGGGAGCGTGATGGCGGGGGGCTGCACTGACACCATCTTGGCCCGTTTGTGCCGCAGGTTGGAGCTGCCGAAGCCGAGCCGGAACCATGGTGAGGGGCCGGGGACTGTGAGGGGAGGGTGCTGCAGTGAGGGAGGGGGGCTTGGGGGGGTCTCTGGGGTGGGTGAGCGGGGCCCTGGCGGGTTCTGCGGCCTGGGAATGAGCTCTGGGCTCACAGCGCATCTCTGGAGAGCCCCAGGCTGGAGCTGTCCCTGCCCATGGCACGGATGAACTTTGGGATCTTTCCAAACGGAACATTCCATGATTTTCATTCCATGAGTTTGTGTTTGCTCTCACAGCCTCGCAAGATTGAGGAGATCAAGGATTTCCTGCTGACGGCGCGGCGGAAGGACGCCAAGTGTGAGTGAGGGTATCAGGCAGGACTGGGGGAGGCTCTAGCTCGTTCCCTGTGGGCACTGAGGAGCTCCTTGCCTTGGGAATGCCGAGGGGTCGGGGCTGGCCTGGTCCCTCCTGTGGGGTGTCCCTGGAACGGTGCTCCCAGCTCTGCATGCCCTGGGGGGTTCAGCCAAACCCCTGGAGGCAATTCCTGGAGCTCCCCCTGCTCTGTGGGATGGTGCAGCTCTCCAGAAGCAATTCCCAAACATCCCCCTGCTCTGTGGGATGCTGCAGCTCCCTGGAGGCAATTCCCAAATTTCTCCCTGCTCTGTGGGATGATGCTGTGTGGAATGTTGGAGTTGTGCCACCACAGGTGATTCATTCATCATCCTCACCAGGAGATTTTTGTTGCCACCACAAAACGAGGATAATTGAGTCAAAGAGCTGCCTTGTCTCACTGTTCAGCAACACGGGAAGAGTTTTTTCCCCTCTAATTCCTCTTGTTTGGATCTGGCTGTGGCAGGATCCCTCGGGAATCCTGTGACAAGGGAGAGTTGAGCACTGCCAGAGCTTTTTCCTCCCCATCCTCTGGATGGAGCTGGAGGTTTCTGCGCGGGGCAGGGCGTGCATTGGGATTCCCAGGGATGACACTGGGGTGTCCCTGCTGTCCCCTCCTCCCCACAGCCGTCAAGATCAAGAAGAACAAGGACAATGTGAAGTTCAAGGTGCGCTGCAGCCGGTACCTTTACACCCTGGTCATCACCGACAAGGAGAAGGCAGAGAAGCTGAAGCAGTCCCTGCCCCCAGGTATCCTGGGAATCCCCTGTTGGGTGTTTGAGCTTGAGGGGGGCTGTGAGAACCCCCTTTCTCTGGAAGGGTCCCTGGAGCTGGTGTCCCTGTCCCCAGGGAATCCTCTGTTGGGTGGTTGGGATTGAGGGGGGGCCATGAGAGCCCTGTGGAAGGGCCCCTGGAGCTGGTGTCACCCCCAGTGCCTTGCTGGGCTCAGTGCTTGGTGTCCTCCTAGAGCTGGAGGGCTCCAGGCACCCCTTCCATGCCTGAACCCCCCCAATCCATGTCCCCTCTCTCTCCTCCCCAGGTCTGGCCGTGAAGGAGCTGAAATGAGCCAGGAGCAGCTGTGTACCTGTTGGATTCTCTGTGTTAAAATAAATAAAAAACTGTTCCTGGTGTCACGTGTGGTGTTTCACAACTCGCTGTTCCTGGCCCTGGAGCCACTCTTGGAGTCCTGGGAACCTCTCTGAGAGTCACTCTGGGGGTCCTGGAGCCACTCTGGAGGTCCTGGAGCCGCTCCAGGGATCTTGGAAGCCACTCTGAGGGTCCGGGAACCATTCTGGGGGTCTGGGGGCCAATCTGGGGTTCCTGGGAGCCTCTCTGGGGGTCCTGGAGCCACTCTGGGGGTGCTGGAGCTACTCTGGGGGTCTTGGGAGCCACTCTGGGGGTCCTGGGGCTGCTGCTGCTCCCAGCAGAGGGGCGGTTCTGGTACCGGCGGGCACCGGGGAGTCACCGGACCTGGAGCTGCCCCTTTGCTCTGGGGTGACAGCTGGGGACGGGCCCTGGGGCTGGCACACAGGGCCACCATGGTGTCCTGTGCGTGGTGCCCTCCCTAGCAGGGTCTGACAGTGCCGGAGGTGCCCCTGCAGCAGAGGTTTGGAGCGCGGCGTGGCGGAGCCGTCTCGGTGCCCTGCCCCAGCGCGGGGCGGGGCACAGGGCTCGGGGCGGTACCGGGGGGCGGTACCGGTGGGTGTCTCCCGGGGCGTGTTCCGGGCGGGCGGGCAGAGCCCGCGGCGTGGCGGCACCGCCGCCCCCCGCCCGGCAGCGCGGCGACCCCGGCCCGCCATGGGGCCCGCCCGCGCCGATTACCTGGCGCCCTGGTGGGCGGCCTGGCTGCACGGGCTCCCGCACCGCGACCCCCGCCTGCAGCCCGTGCCCAGCACCTTCCGCCCGCAGGACCCCGACTACCAGCAGGTACCGGCCCGGGATCCCCGCGCCTCCCCCGAGCCTCCCCCGCGCCCGGTCCCGCTCGCCCCGCGCCCCCCGCCCGCTCCCGGCGGCGCCCGGCGCCGGCTCTGATCTCACGGCGCACAAAGCGCCTTTCATCGCCCGGGCCGGCCGGCACCGGCACCCCCGGCCCCGCCGCTCCCCTCCCGGCCTCGCCGCTCCCCTCCCGGCCTCGCCGCTTCCTCTGCCCCTGCCGAGCCCCCGCCCCGCGCTCCCGGAGCCGCCGCGGCCGCCCGGCATCCCGGGGCCCGGCCCGCCGTGACCCCTGCGCGGCGAGGGGGCAGCGCCGCCGTCCCGGTGCCCCGGCGGCTGCACCCCCGGCTCGGGGGCCCTGCGTGCGAATGGGGACAGGGCTGGGGACAGCCTGGGGACGGGGACGGGGACACTTCTTCCTCTTCCGCACGTGACGGTCCCGTGGGGCGCGGAGCGCCGCCGCATCCCGGCCGCGCGAACGGGTCACGGGCACGGCGGCTGACTGTCCCCTCTCTCCTTCCAGTCGCTGCTTGTCCTGGGCTTCCTGGCCGCCGTGTGCCTCGGCCTCAACCTCCTTTTCCTCACCGCGTACCTGATCTGCCTGTGCTGCTGCAGGAGGGACCAGGACGCCGACAGCAAGCGGCCCCACTCGTGTTGTGTCACCTGGATGGCCGTCACCGCCGGGCTCATCTGCTGGTGAGGACGGGGACGGGGACCCGGTGCTGTCCCCCTGTCACCGAGGGGACTCTGCGCTCCAGCCTTTCCGAGTGGCTTTAATTAGATCTGTGCAATGAACGTGCTCCATCCCTGCCTCCTCCCGCGCAGCTGCCGGGGCAGCCCCAGGGAGCAGCTGCGGGCCAGCCCCGGCCCCGTCCTTATCAGGGCTGTGCAGAATTCCCGGCTAATCCCGGGCGGGAGCCTGGCCGGTCGCTAATCCCAGCCCGGAGCAGATGGCGGGCGGCAGCGTGACCCAGCTGGCAGGTCCCTTGTGCCCGACCTTAATTGCAACCACAACAATTAAACAAGGGGACTCTTCTTCACCCAGCTCTGGGGCCTTCCAAGCCCACCTCGGTTCGGGGTGGCTGGGAGGACCCCCAGGGCAGCCCCCCCGAGTGTCCCCTGGCATTGGTGGCCTGGGGGAGAGCAGGGTGGGCCACGGGCCCCTTTGGCTGCCTGGCCACGACCCTGGCTCCAGACAAAGGGAGCTGTGCCGGGGCGGAGCGAGATGATGGCTGCCTGCGAGCCTCGCATGGAGCAGGGAGACAGGCAAACGGCACTAATGAGCTCAGCGAGCTCCCCCAGCCCTCCCAGCGTGGCAGGGATCCACTCTGCAGATCCCGGGGGCTTTGAACCCCCCCAGCAGCCTCTTTTGGGCTGGTGTGTGTTGGTTGTACCGGGGTTTGGGCTTTGGTGAGCACCACACACGCTGTGGGCACGTGCCCGGCCAGGACACGGCCATGGGCACCTCTGTCCTCAGAGCCAGCTCCAAGCTCCATCCATCCCAGCTCCGTGGGGAGCTCTGCAGCAGCTGCAGGAAGCTCTCCACAGCGCCTGGAGCCGAAGGTTTAATCAGAGCCACGGTGGATTCCCCTAATCTGCTTGGCCCAGCCCCTCCGCCCTCAATCTCTCAGGGTTTGGCAGGAGGAGCTTCCAGGCCACCGTGCAGCTCTGGCTGTCCCCAGGCCCCTGTCACCAGCAGGAGCAGGTTCCCATCATGGTGCTGTCCCTGCCCCACTCTCTGTCTCTGCCCTGCCGTTGAGCTGTCCCCCAAAAGCAGGGGGTGTCCCTGTCTGGTGTGGCAGGGTGAGTGTGTCCCTCCCCTGGCATCAGTGTCCCCTCTCTGCCCACAGTGCCGCCGTTGGCATCGGCTTCTATGGGAACAGCGAGACCAACGATGGCGTTTTCCAGCTGCTCTATGCCCTGGATCATGCCAACCAGACCCTGACTGGCATCGACTCCCTGGTAAGGGCCCCAGGGTGCCTCAGTCCCTGCTGTGGGTTTGGTTGGAGCCCCAGGAGGGACGTCCGGCCGAGCCCTGGCGTGGCTGCGCTGGCCGAGCACAGAGGGTGATGTCACCCCACAGAATGGGACCTTTGTGCCCCGCCAGGGCTGTTCTGAGGGCACTGCAGGGTGGAGGGAGCTGATCTGCTGGGGAAAGCATTGCAGGGATGGGGCACAGGGCTCTGCCGGGCTGGTGGGGACTGAGCATCCCAGGGACTGTCCATCTTGGGGGACTGACCATCCTGGGGGAATGACCATCCCATGGCACTGACCATCCTGGGGGAATGACCATCCCAGGGCACTGACCATCCTGGGGTACTGACCATCCTGGGCACTGACCATCCCAGGGGCACTGACCATCCTGGGGCACTGACCATCCTGGGCACTGACCATCCCAGACTGACCATCCCTGTGGCCGCAGGTTGCCAGCACCACTCTGCAGATGCAGGGAGCGCTGGAGCAGCACCTGGCACGGCTGAACGAGCTGCTGGCCTCGCGGGGGGATTACGTGCAGACCCTCAAGTTCACCCAGCAGCTGGCTGGCAGCATTGTCCTGCAGCTCCAGGGGCTGCCAGCCTGGCGGGGTGTCAGTGCTGACCTCACCGAGCTGTCAGGACAGGTGGCCTATGTGGAGTATTACAGGTGAGCTCCAGCACCCTGAGATGTCCCAGCAGGGCTGGGGAGGTGCCCCTGTGTGACACAGGCTTCCTCTGCACCCAGGTGGTTGGCTTACCTGCTCTTCTTCATCCTCGTCCTCACCGTCTGCCTGCTGGCCTGCCTGGGGCTGGCCAAGCACTCCCGCTGCCTCCTGCTCCTGTGAGTACCCTGGGGACAGCCTTGGGGGGCTCATGGGGACCCCCAGCCATGCTGCCCACTCTGCTCCCCGCTCTCCCTGCAGGATGCTGTGCTGTGGGCTGCTCATGCTGGTCCTCAGCTGGGCCTCCATGGCCGTGGACACGGCGGCTGCGGTGGTGAGTGGGGCAGGGGGTGAGGAAGGGAGGGAGGGAAGGGCTGCTGGGCACTGCATGCATTGGTGATGTCCCTTGGGGCAGGAGGGGAGGGAGGGAAGGGCTGCTGGGGGCTGTGCTGGGCACTGCAGGCATCACTGATGTCCCTCTGTCCCCACAGGGCACCAGCGACTTCTGTGTGGCTCCGGACAAGTTCATCATGAACCAGACAGATGATGAGATCAGTGCAGGTGAGGGCTGGCTGTGAGGTGGAGGCAGGCATGGGCAGGACCCCAAAACCCACCTGGGGGACTGCCACTGTCCCCCCATGGCTCCCTGTGCCCCGGGATGCTCCTGCTGATGTTCCCATTCCCTCTGCAGAGGTGGTTCATTATTACCTGTACTGTGACCAGAGCCTGAGCAGCCCCTTCCAGCAGGTATGGGGGGGTGGGCACCCCCTTTGGTGCTGCCTGGGGCTGGGGGGGTCTGTGACTGTGCCCCACTCCCCCCTGCAGGCTCTCACCGTGTTCCAGCGCTCGCTGACCACCATGCAGATCCAGATGCAGGGGCTCATCCAGTATGCGCTGCCCCTCTTCCCCACAGCTGAGGTACAGGAGCGGGGAGCAGGGATCCCCATCCCTCCTTCTTCTCCCCAGAGCTGCCTGACCCCTCCTTTTCCCACAGAAAGACCTGCTGGGTGTCCAGCAGCTCCTCAACTCCTCGGAGACCGGCCTGCACCAGCTGACAGCCCTGCTGGACTGCCGGGGGCTGCACAAGGTGAGGGGGGGCTGACTGGGGAGCATGGCTGGGCTCCCCCCGCGGTGCCACCAGCGCTGCCCTGCCCGTGTCCCACCAGGATTACCTGGATGGCCTCATTGGGATCTGCTACGACGGCGTGGAGGGGCTGCTCTACCTGGGGCTCTTCTCCCTGCTGGCGGCCGCCGCGTTCTCCACGGTGATCTGCGCGGCCCCGCGCGCCTGGCAGCAGCTGGCCGGGAGGTGCGTGTGCCCCCTGCCCTCCCCCTGGGCATAGGGAGCCCAGAGAGCCCTGTCTCTGTCCCTCTGGAACAGAAAACAGAACCCTTGGCCAGTCCTGAGTCCCAGACACAGGGGGGACAGCCCTGACACGGCCGACAGTGCCCTGAGGGTACTGAGGGCACCTGGGCTGGTCGCCTTTGCAGCAGAAATGACACCAGAGACATCGGGAGATGATAAAGGGCCGACTCTTAGCAGGGGTTAATCCAAGGTTTTATTCTAGGAGTTCCAAAGGAGCTCGTGCACCTCAGGAGGCTCCTGCTGAGAGCCCCAGGAGATGTGCCAAGGTTACATTTAAAGGGAGGTGGAAACCCAAAGTAGAGAACATCCTACCAACCATTAAGTGACCCTAAGGGATGGGTACTGGGGGATGGACATTTAGGACAGCGTATGGGGCAAGGCTTGAGGGGCTGACCCCTGGCCTCTGGCTCATCACTTGACATCCTGGACCAAAGCCTCTAGATGGAGGGGATGGGATGCTGAGTGATTGACAGAGAGCCAGAGTGGGGGTTTGGGGATGATCTCATCCTGGGAGAGGGATAACACAGGTAAAGGGAGGCGGGTACAGTCTGGGATAAACCATTCGGGAAAAATATGGGGATACAAACCAAAACTTCTTCAAAGTATTACAAAGTATAAAAACGCACTACAACAGAGCCCCTCTTTGCCCCCCGGGGCATGATGCCAGCGCTGTGTCCCCACAGGGAGCGGGACTACGATGACATGGACGAGGAGGACCCATTCAACCCCGCGGCTCGGCGCATGGCCACGCACCGCCCGCCGCGGGGGCAGCTGCGCAGCTTCTGCAGCTACAGCAGCAGCCTGGGCAGCCAGAGCAGCCTGCAGCCCCCTGCAGCACAGACTGTGTCCAACGCCCCCGTCTCCGAGTACATGTGAGCCCCCCCGAGCCCCCTCTGCCGTGGCCCCGTGCCGGGCAGGGGCTGACGGGGGTCTCGCTGTGCCCCCCAGGAACCAGGCCGTGCTCTTCGGAGGGAACCCCCGCTATGAGAACGTGCCCCTCATCGGGAGGGGGTCTCCTCCCCCCACGGTACGATGGGGGGCCGAGGACAAAGCATTGTGACGCCCCGGGGGGGGTCACTGTGGATCTGCTGGGTGGGACAGGGACGGGAGGTCCTGGTGCCTCCTGCCCGGCTCTGACCCAAATCCCGGCCGCCCACGGGGAGGGAGCATGGCCACGTGCTGGGGGACACCAAAAGGAGCATCCCCTCCTTCCCTTCCCTGTGCTTCCTCTCCATCCTGGCTCTCAGAGGATGCTCCTCGCAGTCTCTCCCCTCACATTCCCATTTCCCTGCTCGTTAATCCTGCCCTGTCTGGTATTGCTGCTTCATTTTTTTATTCCTTGTCTTTTTTTTTTTTCTTTCTTCTTTTTTTCTTTTTCTTTTTTTTCTTTTTTTTTTTTTTTTTTGTGATTTCTTTTAATTTTTTGCATCCATTATTTTGGAGCTAAGTTGCCCATCAAGAGTAAGTTCAGCCACTTCCTTCTCCCTCCTTATCCCGGGGCCAGCAGCCAGGTTCTCCCCTCCTCCTCCTCCTCACCCTTCCACTCCTCCCTCCATCCCCTTCTCCTGCCTGGATTTTGGGGTGCAGAGAGCTCAGCGAGGGGGGACAAAGGGCCAGGAGGATTTTCAGGTCCCATGTGTTGGGATGCTGGTCCCTGTCTCCATCCCAGCAGCAGTGAAACCCCTCTCAGCCAGGATATGACCCCAGGAATGCTGCCTGGGCAGGAATACTGTCACTCTCCTCCAGGGAGGATTTTTTCCATCAGGTGGAAGCTTGGATCCCATCTCACAGACCTGGCAGCTGGCGAGAGCCTCCTCCCGGGGGGGGGGACATGAGTGGGGGGATTAATTGGAGCTCTTCTCCCAGCCCTGAATAGTTTAATTCACCCAGGATTCAGATCCCTGAGGAGAGACTTTCTGAGTCCAGAATAACAAACTCAGAATAATCTTCCTTAATGCCTGCCCGGGGTGATCCTCCCTGCTGGGAAATCCTGCAGGAATGTGATGCTGGGGTGGGGCTGGAGGCTTGGGCTCCTGGCATCCCACAGACACAACCCCAGGGCGGGTTTGGGAAGGTGGAGGATGAACCTCTGGGAAAGCTGAACTGTACAGGCTGGAAGGGTTTTGGCTTGGGGAAGGGGCAGATTTGGGATGAATTTGGGAAGCTGGGAATGCAGAGGATGAACCTGGGAAGGGACAAAGCAGATCTGGACAGGCTGGTGGAAGGGTTTTGGCTTGGGGAAGGGGCAGATTTGGGATGAATTTGGGAAGGTGGAGGATGAACCTGGGAAGGGACAAAGCTGAGCTGGACTTGGCTTCAGGAGGGGGCTCTTGTCTCCCCCAGCCCTAAGGGGGCAGAGAGCAGGGCCTGACCCTTTCCGTGCCCCCCTGGCAGATTAATTTGGTATTAACCCCCATGGGAACATCCCTGGGGCAGCGTGGGGCATTTTGGGGTGCTGACCCCCGTGTTCCCCCCCAGTACTCCCCGAGCATGAGAGCCACATACCTGGCGGTCACCGATGAGCACATCCGGCACCACGGCGACTTCCCGGCCTAGGAGGGGACACCAAAGAGCCCGGAGGGACAGCAGAGCACGGGGTAGGAGCCATGCCGGGGCTGGGGGGCAAACCTGGAGCCCCCCAGCACCCTCTGCCCTGGGCAGCCCCACACCTGCTGCCTTAGGGGCTCCCAGGAGCGCAGAGGGGCTGCGGGGGCTCCTCCTGTCCCTGTGGAAGGTTCTGGAGCACAAACTCCGCACCACGATGCCCAGGGGCTCCCCTAGCAATGCAGCACCAACCACTTGTGATCCCCAGCCCGTCCCCAGCCCTTTCCAGCCCCCCTGGCATTCCCAGGATGAGGAATTTGGGATGTTTTGGCCCTGCTGGTTTTCCCTCACTTTGCCCCCGGGAGGTGCTGGCTCTGTTTCAGAGAGAGGTTGCTGCAGTGGGGTTTGTGGCGGGTTTTGGGGTGGGTTTAGGCTCTTTTTGGCTCCCCAGGGCGGGTGTGGGCGGGGGCAGGCTCCCCTCCTCCTGCAGCCCTGGAGTGGTCACAAATCCCCTGGGAGAGGGACAGGAGCTGCTGGGGCATCCCTGGGGAGGGACAACATGGACCTGCCACCCCAGGAGGCTCAGCCAGCATTGCCAGGGCTCTGGGGTGAGGAGCTGCAAGAGCATACGAGCTGAACCTGGCCCTTTGGGGCTGCCCTTTGGCACAGGGATCCCCGGGAAAGGCCCCTTCCCCCTGGAGCAGGAATGGACCCCCTGCCCCATCCACCCACACCCCAAAGGGTGCAGACAGGGCAGTGGTGTGTGCCCCCCCAGGGCCAGGACATCCCCCTGACTGCCCCTCTCCATATTCCCCATGACTAGCATCCCTCCCCTTGGGGAATATACCGAGGGATTTTTTTTATTTCTTTGGCTTTTAACGTTTCCATGTAACGGTACTGGTAGAAGAGCTGTTGTAACCGCATGTGAACTAACCGAAGGGCTCCGGCTGGGGGCTGGAGTCCGGCTGGATTTGTTTGTGCCCTTTTGGGAGGAAAGATAATAAACACTTGGACTAAATTACTGCCTCCCGTGCGGGTTTTTTGGGGGGGTAATAATTTTTTTGGTGGATAACGCAGTGGTTGGGGCAGTTTTGAGTTGACCTTCCCAACATGGCGGCGGTCACGTGATACCACACGCCGCCGCCATTACGGGGAGGTCGTGTCATGTGACTGTAGCGCCGGGGTCACGTGACGAGGTTCAAGCTGTTGCCTGGCAACGGCGACGCGTCCCCGGTCAGGCCTCACCGGGAGCGGGACGGACCAGGCCCCACCGCGGTCCCGGAGCCTCTGCGGGGTCCGTGGTCACCCTGGGCGCTTCCTCGCTCCGTCCCCGTGGCTCAGCTCCGCTCTGGGGCTCCCTGAGGCTCCCGCTGCCTTTTGAGGCCCTCTCAAGGTCCTCCCTGCACAGGATCCCTGCTCCCGTTTGGGCTTTGCCGAGATTCCTGTTCCCTTTGGGATCGTCTGGGACTCCCTGAGCTTCTTGTTCCCTTTTGGGACATTCCCAAGGCCTACACTGTCTTCTGGGGCTCTGGAGGGTCCCCACTCCCTTTTGGGGTCCTCTATCCAAGACCCCATTTCCTTTTGGGGTTCCCCATCTGTTTCAGCATCCTCCTTCTCCAGGCTCTCTGTTCACAGTTGGGTCTCCTTGAGGCTCCCATTCCTTTTTTCCTTTTCCTTCATACCTGAAAACCCTCTCTCCTTTTGGAGCTCCCTGAAATCCCGCTCTCCATCCCTGAGAACCCCACTCCCTTTTGGGATCCTCTCAGCACCTCCCACTCTCCTTTGGAACTCTCTCCTCCTCCTTGAGGCCCCTGTTTCCTTTTGGGCTTCCCCAAGGCGTTCCATCCCCATTGGAGCTCTCCATCCCTGAGGTCCCCCCTCCTTTTTGGGGTTCCCTTGGAGGAGCCTCCCTCCCTCCCTGGCCCCCCAGCCCTTTCCCACCATGGAGATCAAGTACGAGTACTCGCGGAAGCGCAGCGAGTTCGGCCGCCCCTGCAGCTTCTCAGACCTCCTGGCCGAGGTGACCGTGGACATCCCGCCCGACCCCACCCTGGCCGAGGACTTCATCCCCCAGGACCCCGTGGACTTTGGGGTGCAGGAGGGTCCTGTCCTGGCCATGCACGAGGTACGGGGACACCCCCTGGCCGGGCAGAGGGGACATCCTGGGGTGGCAGCCACACAGAGGACAGCTGGCCCAGGGAGGATGGATGGATGGATGGATGGATGGATGGATGGATGGATGGATGGATGGGTGATGGATGGATGATGGATGGATGGATGGATGGATGGATGGATGGATGGATGGATGGATGTGTGGGTGGATGGATGATGGATGGATGGATGGAGGGATGATGGATGGATGATGGATGGATGGATGAATGGATGGATGGATGGATGGTTGGATGGATGGAGGGATGGTTGGATGGATGGAGGGATGGTGTGACAGGCACCTTTTGGGCTCAGGGCCTGTGTCCCCTCCATGTCCCCTCCATGTCCAGGTGAACACAGAGCGGGCTCAGGTGTCCATCCGGGGTGTGAACCACGTGGAGGGCGGCTGGCCCAAGCACGTGGACCCCAAGAACCCGGAGCTGACCACCCGCTACCGGGAGGAGGTGGAGAGGGAAGAGGTCTACACCAAGACTGTCCAGCGCCTCGGCTTCGTAAGAGCCTTCCCTGCTCCCCCCAGACCCCCAGAGCCCCCCAGAGCCACAGCCCTGCTGTCCCTGCAGGTGGTGGAGCACTACATCAGGCAGAACAACACCATCGACATCTACGAGGAATATTTTGAGGAGGAAGAGGAGGAAGAGGAGGAGGAGGAGCATCCCTCAGCCAAAACCATCAATGTCATCAGGTAGCACAGTTGGGGGGGCTCACCAGAGCCTCAGTGGGGTCAAACCAGCTTCACAGAAAGTGGGAGAATGTTAGGAGTTCAGTTCCAGTGGGTTTGGGATGGTCCTGGTGCAGTTTGTGGGTGCAGAGCCCAGCTGAGCCCTCCCTGCCAAGGTGATTTGAGGGTGGGAACCAGGGTCAGACCCAGCTCTGAGCATCTCCTGATGGTGCTTTTGGATTTTCCTCCTTGTTCTTGGTGCCTCAAAGGTTAATTTCCACATCAGGGGTGTTTAGGAGTCAGATCCAGTAAGATAATTGGATTTTTAGAAAGGTATGACTGGAAAGAGGATGAAATCATCAACTCTTCTCCCCCCCACCCGACCCCTCAGGAGAATCATTTCCTGCACTCAAGGCTTGAGGGCTGCAGATTGGCTTCCTTGTGGTTCCCACAGTTCCCTGTGGGAGATGTTCATCCCAGGGATTTGCAAACTGACCCATTTTGGCTGATGTGTCACCCCAAAGGGACCCCAACAACCCCAGGAGGATGGCCACACACCTCTCCTGGCACCCCGACGGCAACCGGGCCGTGGCCGTGGCTTATTGCAGCCTGGACTTCCAGGACAGCAGGAAGGACCTGAACTCTGATTCCTACGTCTGGGATCTGGGTAAGGGCCAGGCCAAACCCACCAGGGGACAGGGGATGATGCACTTTGTGTCTCAGAGAGCAGGATGAGGCTGGCAGCACCCCGGGGAGAGTCGCTGGGGAAGCCTCAGTGCAAAACCAGGAGAAATAAGAGCTGGGAGGGGGGAAATAAGCACTGAAATTCCCCTCCGTGGCTCCCCAGCCTGCCAGGCAGCAGACCCTCAGATGAAGGTCTGGTGTTGATGTGGTTCAGCTGGTAATGAAGGAAGAAAGAGGCAGCAGGAGCCCGGGGTGAGACTTGTGCAGGCCTGCCTCACACCTGGTGTGTTTTGGAGTGAAAAGGACAAAAAGGGTGGGAATGCAGATTTGTGCATTGAGGGTCTGTCCCCAGGCCAGCTCCCGGTGACATGGGCACCTCATCCTGCACAGCTGTGTCAGGGAACGGGGTGGGGGCAGCAGGGTGGGCTGGGGGCTGCTTTTGGGGGGCTGCCTTCACTCTTTGCTCTTCACTCATCCCTCCTTGTAGAAAAACCCTATGCCCCAGAGCTCACCCTCAAGCCCTCGTCCCCTGTGGTGACCCTGGAGTACAATTCCAAGGACTGGTATCACATGCTGGGAGGCTGCTACAACGGGCAAATAGGTGAGGGGGTAACTCTGCTCCAGCCTGGCTCCAGCCCTGCTGCTCTGCCAGGACCTGTGCCGCCTCTGGGAGAGCAGGAGAAGCCCTGGGATTTACCTGTGGGCAGGTGTGTGCCCACCTGAGCGGGCACCCAGGGAGGGGAGAACACCCTGCCGGGGAGCCCTTCACAGCAGATGGATGGATGGATGGATGGATGGATGGACGGATGGATGGATGGGGGATGGATGGATGTTGGATAGATCCAAGGGATGATGGGTGCTGTGCTCCCACCTCTCCCACCACCCTGGATGATCTCTGGGAAGCACTGGGTGAAGTTTGCTCCCTGTTCCATCTTGGACAGTGGGGGGAAACGTGACGAGGAAAGGAGCTGGGCATGGGCTTTTCTTTTCCTCCCCAGTGTATTGGGACACCAGGAAAGGGGGGCTGCCCGTGGAGATGACCCCTGTGGAGTTCAGCCACAGGGACCCCGTGTACGGGGCGTGCTGGCTGCCCTCCCGAACGGGCACCGAGTGCTTCTCAGGCTCCACTGATGGACAGGTGAGGGGCTGCAGCTGGGCAAGGGGCAAGGGGCTCCTGAAAGAGCTTCCTGTGCCTGCTCTGCCCCACAGCAGAACAAGATCCTGGCCTCCCAGGCTGGCACGGGGCAGCTGCAGGACTGCCAGCACCTCTGACCATGCTGGGAGCAGCCCCCAGAGCCCCTGCCACACCTTGTCCCTGCAGGTCCTGTGGTGGGACATCCGCAAGATGTCACAGCCCAGCGAGAGGCTGGTCTTGGACATCAGCCGGCAAGATCAGCTGAAGGACGCTCTGGGTGCCATCTCCCTGGACTTTGCACCCATCCTGGTGAGTGTCCCTGTGCCCACCATCCACAGCCTGACCTGGGCAGGAGGGGGAGCGCAGCCCAGGGGTTCCAGTCCCTAAACCCCCCCGTGGTGGTGGGTGCCAGGGTTCTGGCTGCAGCAGGGTCTCCTGCTGCCTCCCACACTGTGGGATCTCCATCCTGCTGACAGCTGCACCCTCCTGCTCCCACCCTCAGCCCACCAAGTTCCTGGTGGGCACAGAGCAGGGCATCATCATCTCCTGCAATCGTGATGCCAAGACACCACCCGAGAAAATCGCCAACATCTTCAGAAGCCACATTGGGGCTGTCTACAGGGTGACCAGGAACCCCTTCTTCCCCAAAGTCTTCCTGTCAGTCGGTGACTGGACTGCTCGGATCTGGACGGAGGAGCTCATGGATTCATCATCAATTATGGAGACCAAGTAGGTCTCCTTTAGAGAAGTAGTAGAGAGCCTTTAGTTGGCCAGAAATCATCCCCAGGGTGGGTAGCAATGGGGTCTGCTCATCTCTGGGCTGGTGCCCGAGGCAGGGCAGTGCCAGCGTGGCTGAGGGCTGGCTCTGCTGGAAGGTACCACAGCTCCTACCTGATGAACGTGTGCTGGAGCCCCGTGAAGCCGGCCGTGTTCTTCACTGTCAGGTCGGACGGCGTCCTGGACATCTGGGACTTCCTCTTCCACCAGAAGGCGCCTTCCCTCAGCCTCAAGGTGGGTCCCCAGCACCTCTGGGTGCCTCACATCACCCCAGGGCCGAGTGTCACCCCCCACCTGTCCCCAGGTGTCCAACGATCCCCTGCTCAGCCTGTGCTCGCAGGACAACGGGCGCATCATCGGCTGCGGCACCAGGATGGGCAATGTCTCCCTCCTGGAGATCTCCCCGGGGCTCTGCACCATCCGGAAGAACGAGAAGACCCTGACCTCCACAGTATGTGCCCCCTGAGCGTGCCCACACTCTGCCTGCAGCCCTGTGCTGTGCCCAGCCTCGTGGCAGGGTCCCCTGTGCCCCCACATGTGCCCCCAGATGTTCGAGCGGGAGGCGAGGCGGGAGAAGGTCCTGCAGGACAAGTACAAGGAGCGGCTGCTGCGGGAGCAGGAGCGCCTGCGGGCCCAGCCCGAGCAGCAGGAGGATCCAGTGCAGACCTTCAAGCAGGCCCAGGAAGATTTCCTCTCCAGCATCAAGGCCGAGCGGCGGAGGAGGGGACTGGAAGTGCCTGGAGAGGTAACGGGGATGGGACAGCCTGGCCACCACAGCAGGGACCCCAGCACGGGCACAGGGCACAGGGTGAACCTCTGTCTTTCAGGATGAAGAGGGGGCGGCAGCTGCACAGGAGCAAAGCTAGCAGGAGTAGGAGGATGCCAAGTGTGCTCCAGCTGCACCTTCCTTTCCTCTCCATGCCAGAGCTGCTGCAGGGATGAAACCACTGTCCCCAAGCCAGGCAGCTCTCCTGGGCTCTCTGCCCTGTCTGCCCTCCTGGGGTGGCAAGTGGGGAACCCTGCACAGCCCCCTGACCCCTCAGCTGCTCCCTGGCCTTTGCATCCTTATTTTCTTTGGTGTAAATAAACCTGTGCTTTCCACGTCACATTTCCTCTTTTGTCACAGTAGGGTCGAGCAGAGGGTGAGAAAGTCACGTCCTCCTGCTCCTCCTGTCCTTTCCTTGACCCAGGACACTCAAAGCCAGTGGCTGAGCACAGCCAAGCACCCACGACAGCACAGGATGTCCCTCAATGTCCCCAGGCCGTGGAGCAGGGCACAGCAGGGTGGCTGGTGGCAGCAGGGGGCCCCAGTCCCCTCTGGGCTCTGTGTCCCCACAGGAGCAGCCCCGGGCTGGGTTATCAGTGCTGGGTAAACACAGCCCTGCTGGTAGAACTGGCAGCCACCCCGACTCCTCACCCCCCTTAATTAATCATTAACGAGCTGCCAGCAGCACTGTCACAGCGATGGGGATATCACACGGGTGGCTCTCTGTGGGCTGAGGGGGAGCCCCCCAGCAGGACCCTTCCCCAGGCTCTGCTCAGGGCCTGAACCCACCCATGGGTGAGCGATGCCAGGACAGGGTTCAGGGGCCATCACCCCCCAAACCCATGCCAGGTGGGGACCCACGTTCCCACAGGGAAGTGCACCCGTGCCTGGATGGGTGCTCTCCTTCCCAGGAGTTCCATCAGAAGGAGCTGGGCTGGGGAGCAGCATCACCCCAAAGATGCCCCACACATCCCACACTCATTTTCTGCTTTATTAGGAAAGGGGTGAGGGTACCTGGACAGGGATGGGGCAGCTGCCACTGCCAGTGGGGACAGTGCCCCCCACCCCTCCTCCACTGGGGGAGGCTGACAGGCCCCCACCCCCTGACTGGGCAGCTCTGTTTGCTCCTGAGCTGGACCCAGCTGCCCACACAGAGGGACCCCGGGGCTGCCTCGTGGGAAGGATGAGCTGTCCCTGTCCCCATCCCCACACCCACTGGGGTCTGTGATGTGCCCATGGGCTGCACGTTTCACCTCCTGCACCCCCTACATGGGTCTGGGGCACTGCCAGCATCCTCCATCCCCAGGGACAGCGATGGGGACGGGACATGGCAGGGGAACACTCAGGGAGGGGTGGGCAGTGCAGAGCTCAGTCCTGGAGGCCCCCAACAAGGGGACCCCCATCTACCTACAGGACCAAGCGTTCCCCCCACGGTGCTGGGGCCAGCAGGACAGCACCCAGCTGCTCCTCGTTACTTCTTCACCTTGATGAGGGAGTGGTAGACAGGCTTGATGATGATGTGCAGGTGCAGGGAGTTGTCGATGAGGTACTCGGAGGTGCGTTTCTGCAGGTCGGCGTGCGCCAGGAAATCGGCGGCCTCGTCCGAGCTCTGGTGGAAGCTGTAGGCGTGTTTGACCAGCACGCGGCCCTGCTGCCTCACGCCCACCAGCACGGTCTTCTGGAAGCTGACACCGGCAAAATCGGGGCTGCTCATGGCCGGGGTGATGACGAGGCGAGGGCGCCCATCCTCGATGCGCACGGGCTGGATGGCACCCGCCGCCGAGTCCGAGTAGACGGGACGCAGGCTGACGGGCAGCCAGCGCGGCGAGAACAGCGCGTTCCACGTCACCCTCTTGCCGGCGTCATGGCTGCTGGGCCCCAGCTGCGTCTGGAAGCTGGTGCTGCGGTCGTCCCGCGCCGGGTTGGTGATGACCCACTGGGAGCCCCAGCTGGGCGCGAGGTAGTTGCGGGGCAGGAACATGCTGCAGTTGACGTCGAAGTACTTGGCGAAGTGGAGCGGGGAGGCGGCGTGGAACTGGAAAGCCTGGAAGAGCAGGTCCTGCACGGCGGCGCGGTGCCGCGCCAGCACCGCCGACTGCGCCTGCAGCCGGAACAGCTGGCTGGGCGCGATCATGGGGTAGCGGATGGCACGCAGCACCCGCTCGGCCACGGGCGCCTCGGGCTGCCGCCGGCTCAGCCAGCCCTCCACGGCGGTGTAGAGCTCCAGCTCGCTGTGCAGCACCAGGTCGGAGCGCTCCAGCAGCAGCAGCAGCAGCTCCACGCTCACCGAGCCCCACTCGGCGCTGCCCAGCACCGCGGACAGGTTCCAGGCCAGGAACTGCAGGCAGCTCTCCTGCAGCGCCGCGTCCCCGACGCGCACGGCGTAGTGGTACCAGCCCACCACGTGGCCCTGGCTGGACTCGCTGGCCAGGTGGGTCCTCATGTATTCGGCCACGCCGCGCTGCAGCCCCCAGACCCTGTATTTGCTGGCCAGCTGGTGCATGGGGATGGCCTGGTGCAGCAGGATGGAGACCCCCCCACAGTACAGGTACCTGGGGCAGAGCAGGGAGTGGTGACACTGGGGACATCCATCCCCGGCAGCTCAGTTCCCAGGGGAGCAGCCTCTGCCTTCCACTGAGTATTCCCACCCCATGGGGTCCCCAGGGTTTCCAGAGAAACACCTCCCCTCCTTGGATGCTTCCCTCCCATTCCATGTGATCTCCATGGTCCCCAGTGGGGCATCCTCCTTTTCTGGCTGCATCCCATGAAGTGAAGCATCTACTTTCTTTGGCTGCATTCCTCCCAGTACACTCATGCCACAGCATCTCCCTCTTGGGAGATCCTGAGAGGAATCCTCCCTCTCAGGCTGCATCCCTCCCAAAGTGCACATCCCTCCCAAAGTGCACATCCCTCTCAAAACACACATCCCACTAGGTCCCTGTGGTTCCCAAGGGAACATCCCCCATCCTTGGCTGCATCTCTCTGGCCATGCCCATCCCGTGGAGCTCCCCGTGGTTCCCAGGAGAGCTGCATCCTCTCTCCTCCCCATCCCACGGGGTCCCTACGCACCTGATGAATTTCTCGAAGAGCGCGGCGGTCTCGGGCGGCTCATACAGGGTCACGACGCTCTGGTTACGCAGGAGGCTCTCGAAGACCTCGCTCTGGAGGCTGAGCAGCAGCTGGTGGGTGTGGAACACCTTGGGCTCGTCGGAGGCGGCCGAGCGGACCCGCAGCACCGAGTCGCTGCCGTTGCCGTTCTGCAGCAGCTCCTGCAGCCGCTGCAGCAGCGTCAGCGAGTGGTTGATGGTGGCCGCCGTGGAGTCCCCACTAAAGTCGGCTTTTTGGGCTGCAGGGAGATGGGACCATCCCAGAGCTGCACCCCAGTGCCAGGCACTGAGCTGGGGTGGGGTTACCGGGGGGCTGTGCACCTCCTGCCTCTGCTCCCCCAGTGCCAAAGGGCCGCTGGAGCCAAGGGAGTGTGGGGGAACAAAGGACATGGGGACATTTGTGTCCCTGAGAGCCAAAAAACTGCCTTTCTGCAGCAGAAGGGCTGGGACCACCATGTCCCAGGCTGGGGTGTGCTGGGAAATGGCCGGGTGCCGGCGGCACTGGCTCTCAGCCCGGTCTGCCTGTCCTGATCCCGTCCCTGCTGTGGGCAGAGGGAGCCCCGGGCATTGCCCTGATCCCTCACATCCCTGATGGTTACGTGGGGGGACAGAGAGCCCCTGGGTGTGGGGAGCCAGGCACGCTCTGCCCCGCAGCCAGGAATGGGGTCCCGAGCAGCCTGGGGACACCAGCTGCCCTGGTGTCACTTCAGACCCGTGCTGGGATCCCAACAGGGACTGGAGGGGGATCTGGGAATGTGGAACAGGGTTCTCCATGCTCCTGTGGGCAGTGGGATCCTGCCTTCTCTCCTCTTCTCCGTCTTGACACCACTCCCACCCGCTCCTCGGAGCATCCTTTCCCCAGGAGGAATTTGGCCCCGTCTGTCTCAAATCCATCTTCCTTCTCAAATCCCGTCTTGCTGACGGATTACCCTTCCCAGCGCCGGCTTAAGGCCGGGGGATGAAGAAGGGGAGCGGAGATGAGGAAGGGGAGCAGGCGCCCTGAACCCCGCGGTGCTGGACTTGTCTGCCCGCGGCACCGAGCCCTTCCCGGGGTACCCACCAGCGAGCACAACCCGCCTCCGAGAGCGCAGCACACCCAGGAGCCACTTCCATCCCCTCCAGACACCCCGAGGGCAGCCGGAGAGCCGCGCTCAGCTCTCCATCAGCCGCCGAGCCGCACCCCGGCACCCGGCGAGGGCAGCGCTACCCGCGGCTCGGGAACCCTCCGTGCCTTCCCCCGCGCCGCGGCCACCCTTACCGGCTTGCACGGTGAAGAGGAGGAGAAGGAAGGCGGCGGCAGAGCCCCAGCGGCGGGTGGCCGCGGGCCGGGTGCCCGTCAGCCTGGCCATGGCGTCGCAGGCGCATCTGCCGGGTGCGGCGCACGCTGCGCGCCCGGTTCTTATGTAGGCCACGCGCCCTCCCGGCCCGCGGGCCCGCGCCGCCGCATCGATTGGTGGAAACTGGGACCGGCCGTTGCCACGGGAACGGCTTCCAGCCCCCCCCGCATCCCACCGGGACCCCCGGCCCCGGCCCCGCACCCCGGGGTGCTCCGGAGCGGGGACGTCGCCGTGCGGGAGCCGGTGCTGCCGCGGAGCCCCACGCGTGGCCGCGGCGCTTTGTGCCGGGGTCTTTGCATTCAGGGCACAGCTCGGTGGCCTCCCGCTCCCCCCGGCTCATGGGTATTCATGCCGGCAGCAGCCCATCACCATGGCATCCGCGCTGCCGGCAGGAACTGCCTGCCCTTTTCCCAGCCTTTGCAGCCAAGAGGCCGCCCGTGCGCCCTGTGCGGCCTCCCTGGCCCCCCGCCCGCCCCGACGCCTCTTGGGGGGCTTCACCACGGGGCTGGGGCCCCCCAAAGCCGCAGCGCCACAGCAGCAGCATGGGGCGGTGCTGGGTGGGCAGGGTAGGGACAGCGGGTGTCGGCCAAGTGGTGCCGACGCCACTGGGGCTGTGACCCCGGTGGGGACACAGGAGCAGGACCCGAGGCGGGGGTACGCATCCCACAGAGGAGGAGCACAGCCCGCAAGGGCACAGCGGCCCCTTACCCACTGCCGAGGAGCCCCGTGCCCTGCACAGCCCTTTGAACACGGGCTTAGACACGGTTCCAGATGTTGGGCGTGGGCAGATGTTGCTGCAGCTGGCGAGGGGGTGGGATCACCATCTGTCCCTGGCCCTTGGGCGCGGAGATTCAGCACAAGACACCGATCAGCCCCACGCCGCGCTGCTGGGGCTCCCTGGCCCCTTGCAGGGACGGGCGGGTGGGCGATGCTCAAGCCCTGTGCCCCTGCTGGGCAGGGCACCCCCAAAGCCGCGGTGCCAGCAGAGCGCCCGGCCCGGGGCTGGGGGTGTCCTTGCACCGTGGGGCCGCGGGGGACAGGGCCCCCGCCGCGGCACAGCCGGTTCACGGCTCAGCGCGTCCTCCGACGCCTCATTTCACCACCGCCTGATAAACAACCGCCTGTGCGAGCGTGTGCCCGGCGCGCCGCCGGCACCGTGCCAGCCCGGGCGGCGGCCACAGCCCGGCGACCCCCGTGTTGGGCTGCTCAGGGCTATAGGGGGATACGAGGGACCGTGGGGCTGGTCCTGGAGGTCGCCAGGGGACAGGGGACACCTGCCAGTGTGCAGTGAGGTAAGGGAGCAGCTGTGCTGGCCTGGAGATTGCAGCTAGGGCTGGCTCACCATAGCGACCTGCACCAGGCAGCAGTGCCAGGGCATCGCCCCGCGGGCTGGGGGGGCACCGGAGAGACGGAGCTGGACCCAGGGACCGGCAGGGGACAGCAGGGCCCTCCCTGTGCTGCTGGGGAAACTGAGGCACGGCGTCCGGGCAGTGGCACTTGGGAGCAGCCAGGGCAGAGCGCAGCAGGGACACGCAGGCAGCGCACACGGATTCACGCTCGTGTGCACACACGTCACACCCTGGAGCTGTGCACATCCGCTCTCCTGTCCCCAGAGGTGGCCGCCGGCCCAGCTGCCCCCGCACCGCCATCCCTACTGCTCTGGAGCCCTGTCACGGTCACCCGGAGCTGCCCAGGTGACCCTTCCCGGCCGCCGAGGGCCGGTGGTGACGTCCCCGTGCCCTGCCCGCGGCTCTGCCCACGGCGCTCTCCCTCCGCCCCGTGCCCCGGGAGGCTGTGCCATGCTGCGGGTGCCCGCGGGGACAGGGACACCGGCAGGGACACGGAGCCCGCAGAGGACACGGACACCAGCGGCACACGGACACTGACCGGGACACACGGACAGCGGTATGTCCGTGAGAAACACCGCGCCCAGGGAAGGTGGCGCTGCACGCCCGGCGGGTGGCACTGGGGACAGCCAGGTGACAGTGCCTGTCCCGCAGGCTTTGGGGAGCGGGAGCCCGGGCAGGGGGAGCAAAATGGGGCCAGAGCGATCCCATCCTCCCCACCAGCTGCGCAAAGGGGATCGGGCTGGGAAAGGGTTAAGGCGCTCGAGCAGCTGCAGCCGATCGATGCCTCAGTTCCGCGGGGGACGTGGATGGACGGGACCTCCTGCTGATGAACCGGAGCTAATTTGCAGTTAATTGGCACCCCTGGGCTCCCCCCATCCCCTCCCTTCTTCTCCCTCGGGCTGTGCTCAGGATCTTGCTGGGGTTCCGGCCGGGAGTTGCAGGGTCGGGGAGGTGGGACCCCCGGGAGCCCACACACACCTCGGGCACTTCTGGGGGAGCAGATCCATCATCGAGTGTTGGATTACTGCAACCGAAGGTCCCCAAACGGGAGAGAGACCTGCCCGCCTCTCCAACCCCGGCCCTGAAGCCATCGAGTGTCTGGGACAAGGGGAATTTGGGGTGCCCCCGGGGCCAGGGCCAGACTGGCAGGAGTGCCGTGCCTCATACCCCCTCCCTGAGCTCAGGACCCCCCTTTGCACCTGCACCCCAGGATCCCAAGACATCCCTCTCCCAAAGAGCACCCCACAACCCCCGGGCCCCGAATCCCCCTACACCCCAGAACCCCCGATCCCAGGAGCCCCTTGTGCCTCAGAACCCCCGATGCCAGGATCCCCCCGCACCCCAGAACCCCCGATCCCAGGACCCCCTGGATCCCCCGCACCCCAGAACCCCCGATCCCAGGATCCCCAGGACCCCCCGCACCCCACAATCCCCATCCCAGCATCTCCCATCGTCCCACACCGGGACCGACGGTGGCGGTTCCTATGGGATGCAAATTTGGGGGGGATTCTGACCAATCAGAACGCAGCGCTCAGCTCTGGCCTCACCCCTCCCGGGGAACCCCTCTCCGATTGGTGGGGCCGGGCTCCTGTGAGCCAATAGGAGCGCAGAGCTCGGGAGGGGGTGGAGCCGCCCTGGTTTATGAATGGGCGAGGGCAGCGCGGGCACGACCCGGGCGTGGGGAGAGGGCAGAGGGATGGGGCAAAGACCGGGGCAGGGAGCAGGGCACAGATAGGGCAGGGATGGGGCACAGATAGGGATGCGGATACGGATCAGGATCCGGATACGGGCGGGGATGCGGGCAGGGCTCCTCCAGCTCCGCTGCCTCAGCCTGAGGAGCTGGAAAAGGACCAGCTGGCAGCCTGGAGATGGCCACCCCACACTTGGCACCACTAGAACCCCCCCCATCGGCACCTCTGGGTCCTCTCTGCCGCCACTGGGAGCCGTCGGGTGGCACCCAGCCCGGGCTGGGGGCCAGAGGCTCCCTCTGCTGGCAGCTGCCCCAGAACATGATGTTTTAATCCGGTTTTCTACAAAAACGGGGCTGAGGGATAAAGAAGGAGCAGCTCTGGCAGCGAGGGCTCTGCTGGGACATGGCACAGGGGGTTTGGGGTGCATTGCCTCCCATGGGGATGCAGCAGCTCCAGGTCTGCCGGAGGTGGCACATTTGGGATGAGCCCACTGCCCATGGATTCTACAGGACAAGGGAGCTGGGATTCAGACACAGTGGGGACACCCAGGAGATGGACCCTGTCCCCAAGCCCCCAGTGCCATGTCACGGCTGACCTCCCTCCTAGGTGCCATCAGGACTCTGATGCCGCTGGTGCTCCTGTGTCTCCTCACAGCCGGTTTGTGGTGGAAGATGACAGTGCCGGTGCCCAACAGCACAGCGGTGTCGTGGGCACTGCCAGAGCCAGAGCTGGAGCTGGAGCGCTCACCCTGCCTGGTTGGCATCGTCCCCATCGTGTACTACAGCGTCCTGCTGGGGCTGGGGCTGCCAGGTGAGGGGGCTGAGGGGGCCGGGGGGCTGGAAAGAAAGGCCCTCAGGATAGAGGGGCTTTACCTGCGCCCCCCCAGCCTCAGACCCGGCCCCAGTGCCCGGCTGTGCTGCCCAGCCCAGGGCAGGTGCCACCGCCACGGGGACAGATGGTATTTGCATTGCTTGGGCTGGCACACGGAAGAGATTAATCAGCCCAGCAAATCCCCACAGCACTGGGATATTTATAGCTCCCCTCAGCTGCAGCCTGGGCAGCTCTGGGGTCCTGGTGCTGCAGGGGGGCCTGTGAACCCCCAGCTCTCACCTCCACCCGTGGCTCCCCTCCCTGCAGTGAACATCCTGACCGCCGTGGCCCTGTCCCGCCTGGCCACCAGGACCAAGAAGTCGTCCTACTGGTACCTGCTGGCCCTGACCACCTCCGACATCCTCACCCAGGTCTTCATCATCTTCGTGGGCTTCATCCTGCAGACGGCCATCCTGGCGCGGGCAGTGCCCAGCGCCTTCATCCACACCGTCACCGTGCTGGAGTTCACGGCCAACCACGCGTCCACCTGGGTCACCGTGCTGCTGACCGTGGACCGCTACGTGGCCCTGTGCCACCCTCTGCGCTACCGCGCCGTGTCCTACCCGCGCCGCACCCGCCGCATCATCGCCGCCGTCTTCGCCGCCGCGCTGGCCACCGGCGTCCCCTTCTACTGGTGGCTGGACATGTGGCGCGACGCTGACGCCCCCACGGCGCTGGACACGGCGCTCAAGTGGCTGCACTGCGTCACCATCTATTTCCTGCCCTGCAGCATCTTCCTGGCCGCCAACTCCGCCATCATCCGCAAGCTGCGGCGGCGGAGGCGCGCGGGGGGCGGCAAGACCACGGCGCTGCTGCTGGCTGTCACCGCTGTCTTCATCGTGCTCTGGGCTCCCCGCGCCGTCGTCACCATGTGCCACCTCTACGTGGCCTCGGTCAGGAGGGACTGGCGCGTGCACCTGGCCTTGGACATCGCCAACATGGTGGCCATGCTCAACACCTCCCTCAACTTCTTCCTCTACTGCTTCGTCAGCCAGACCTTCCGCCGCGCGGTGGGCGAGGTGCTGCGGGGGCAGCCCCGGGCAGCCCCCAGCCAGGGCAGCGCTCACTGCCCACCCCTGGCCCTGGAACCACTGAAACTGCTGGGCAGCACCACGCTCTGAGGCAGGGCAGTGCCCGGCTGGCAGCCCCGGTGCCCACCCAGCCCCACGCATTGCACTGGGACCAGGGAGACCCCCACCCCTTCCACGGAGCCAGGGTCACTGCTGCTGGGGGTGGCAGGAGGAGGGGGTTGTGCCCAGACACTCATTTGGGGATATTGTGGTGCCTGCCTGGCAGCAGCAGCCCAGGGTGGGCACCTCTGCCCTGCCCATGCTCAGCCCCTGGCACAATACTGGACTCATCCAGGGGACTCATCCAGGGGACTCATCCAGGACACGCCCCAGCTCAGTGGCACCGAGGGTCCTGGGGAGCCCAGGGCTACCCGTGGTGAGGGGTGGAGGGCACAAATGAGCTCCTGTGAGCCCTGACAAGGACGTGGTGCCCACTGGGTGCCACTCCATAAACTGCCGTGCTGAGACCAAAGCTCTGCCTGGCTCTGGCTCCCTGGGGGCAGCTGGCACGGAGGCACCCGGCACAAGCATCTCTGGCACGGGGTCCCTCTGCCCTGCCCACCCCCGTGCCCCTGCCTTGCTGCCCAGGAGTGCTGGGGGAGCACCCACAGGGTCTGCTGGCTGTCCCCTGTGGTGGGGTCTGCACACACGGTAAGGTCACGGCTCCCGGCCCCCCACCCATTAATCCCCCCGGGCAATGCCCCCCTGCATGGGGTGTACCCAGTGCTGCCCTCCCAGTTACACCAGTGCCAAACTGGTGTGACGCTGGAGGAGCGGCCGTGCCGTGCCAGCCTGTCCCCAGCTGCCGGCAGAGGGCAGGGATGGGACACTGCGGAGCTGGCACTGACGGGGCAGGGAGCTGGCACCCCCAGCTCCCCAAACCAGCCCCGCCGCCACCCTAATTCCCCGTAAGGTCCTTAACGTAATCCCCCAAAACCGTCCAGCATTCCGCCCGGATTGCCGAGACGGGGCAGGACAGACCCAGGGGGTGCCCGGGGGGGGATCCGGACCTCAGCTGGCTCCTGGCAGGGCACAGAGACACCCCCAAACCCCAGCAGACCCCCTGCCCACCCCCAAGCCCGGCTGTGCCCGCACTGGCGTGGGATGGGGAGCAGCCTTTGCCCCCAAGGTGTGGGGCTGATCCCCCTACGGACCCACCCTGCCCCCGGGTCATTCCCCGGCGTGGACAGACCCCTCGGGGGGTGTCACCTCATCGCAGGCCGGATCCCTACGGGGGGACAGGGTTAAAGCCCGACCCGGTGGCGCGGGGGCTACCTGGGAGGTTCTCGCTCCATTAATTCTGGCACGTGAGGAGAGCAGGACCGGGAAGGGATTAGTTATTAACCCGAGCTGGGCAGGGGCTGAGGGGCCGCGGGCCGGGGGGCTCGGCTGCCTCGGGAACCCTCGGCGGGAGCTCCGGGATTGCCACCGGCCCCCCCCGATCGCCAGCGGCCCCCCTGTGCCAACCGGTGCGTATTTACTTGGCAAAGGAGGTGGAAATGTGCTGACGGCGTCCGCCGGAGCGAGGGGCTCCGCTGGGAACGGCTCCGAGCCCCGGCCGGAGCGGCGGGAGGCTCTGGGAGGGCAGCGGGGACCCCTGGCTCCAGGTCCTTGCCGAGGGAGCCGCGCGGAGCCGGGGCTCAGCCAGCCGTGCCCACCGTGCCCACCGTGCCCGCCGTGCCCACCGTGCCCGCCGTGCCCGCCGCCCGTCCCTGCGGTTCCCGAGGAAAGGTAAGCCTGGAAAAAATGCGTGCTGATGTTTTCGGACAGAGCCTGGCCGGGCTCCAGGTGCCGGTGCTGAGCGACAGCGCAGCCCCCCAGTGCGGCCCCAGTGCTGGAAGGACCAGTTCTGCCCAGTTCCAGCACTGGGATCGCGGCTCCCAGCCCAACCAGAGCTCCGGCAGCTAAAATCGGGCTCTGCCCGTGCCGGGAGGTCAGGGCCGGGCACCCCGAGAGGAAACCGAGGGTGGCACAGGGTGGGCATCACCCCCCAGTGACCCCACAGCCTGTTGGGGTTTTCCTGTAGGACCTGCCGGGAGCAGGCAATGGGGGCTGGAAACGCGGGCAGGGTCCCGGTGGGAAGGGGGAGCAGAAAACGCCCACAAGGGGTGGAACACGAGGGTCCCCGTGGGGAGGGGGCCGGAATCGCCCGCCGTGGGGGGATGGGGGGTTCCCATGGGAAGGGGGTGAGGGAATCACCGCCAAGGACGGGGACACAACAGCAAACGCTGCGCGGGCGCGGGGCAGCCTCGGCGGGACGGGCGCCTGCCGGTGGCCCCAGCGGGGGTCACGGGGGTCTGTGCTGAGTCAGCAGCTGGGAAAGCCTCCGGCGGAAGGAAGCAGCCGGTGGAGAGGCCGGGCCGCGCTGTGGGGGCGGCAGGACAAGCGGCCTCCGCTCCCGGCGCCGCTTATCCAAGGCTGAGCCTTTCCCGGAGAGCGAGGGCTGCCCAATCCTGGGGCCAAATCCCTGGGGAAACTGAGGCACGAGGGCCGCTGCAGAGCCCCCCGCCTGCCCTGCCCTGCCCCGTGCGAGGGCAGGGATGATCCAGTCCCAAACACCATCCCGGAGCCGAAGGATCCTTAGGAGGAGGGCGGGAGGGTGGCGGTGTCGCAGCTCTGAGCCCGTCCTGGCCCCGGGGGCTCCGGCGGGCGCCGGTCCTTGAGCCACGGGTGCCGCCGGTTCCGGTGGGAGCCGGTCCTGCCGCTGGAGGCTCTGCTGCCCTTTCTCCCCGGATTGTTTTCATCCCAGCCCGGATCGGGGCAGGCCCCGCCGGAGGCACATTGAACTTTCCTCTGCATCCTTCACCCTCTTGCTTCACCCTCCCGAAATAGCAGCTCCTGCCTGGAAACCTCTCCCAGGGCTGGCGGGGCCCCGGGGTGCCCCAAATCTCCCAGGGCTTTTCCCCCATCCCCAGGGATGAATGGGGTGATTGTGGGGTGCCCGACCCAACTCCAGGGTGGCGACCACCCCCGTCGGGACAGGGACCGCCAAACCCTGCCAGTGCCCCGGGCTGGGGCTGCCCTGGTCCCCGGCCCTCTGCAGAAAGGGCTTTTCTGGGGTTTTCTGGGGTTTTCTGGGTCCTGCTGCCCTGCCAAGGGTTCCGGCTTTATCCATCAGCTGACATTCCTCCGGGAGGCCCCTCCAGGCCGGAGAATCCTTACGCGGTGGGGCCGCCTGTGGAGCGCCACTCCCCGAGCCCACCGGGGCTGGGAGATCCCGGCTGGGTGACACAGACCCCACTGCTCCGTCCCTTGTCCCCTGAGGGTCCTTCCTGCTCTGCAGCGCTCAGCAGGGCCAGGCTGAGCCCCCCAGACCCATCACAGCGATGGTCAGGTGGGCTCACCCCTGCTTCCCCCCCAGCCCAGGCTCTGCCCCCCTTAGCCCCGTCCATGCCCCGGGGCCGCCCCCGCGCTCCGTCCCTTGTCCCCTGAGTGTCGTTCCCGGGAGCAGCGCTCAGCAGGGCCAGGCTGAGCCCCCCAGACCCATCACAGCGATGGCAGAGCCCCCCCAGATTCATCACACCCATGACCAGGTGGGCTCCCCCATTTCCGCGGGTTCTTTGCCCCCCCAGCCCCCTCCGTGCCCCGGTGCGGGATCCCCGCCGGTGCGGGACCGCGGTGTCCCCGCCCGGTGCGGCGGGGCAGGTCCGGGCCGGCCCCAATCGCGCTCCCGGGGCTGAGCCGCACCTCGGGGAGGGGCCGGGCCGGGCCGGGCAGGCGCACGGTGCGGCGGCACCGGGGCTGGCTGGGCTCGGCACGGGGGGAGCGGAGCGCCGGGCACCGGGGGCTGCGGCCGGTGAGCGGGGCGGGCTGCGGGGCGAGCCCTGCGGGACTGGGGGGCAGCGGCAACGCCGACGGGAAGGGACCGGGACCGGGACCGAGAGCCGCCCGCCCCCGCAGCTCCTCCGGCCGGGGATTTGGGGGCGGCTCCGGCGGAGTTTCGGGGCCAGGACCCGGCGGGAGCGCCGGGAAGCACCGGGACAGTGCGGGATGGGGGTGCGGAGGGGCAGAGAAGCGGGACGGGAGTGCGGCGGCGGCGGCGGCACCGGGCCGGGGGAGCGAGGGAAGCCAACGGGCGATGCGAGGAACCGGGCGGGGTTGCAGGAGGAGCAGAACTCGGGACGCGGGTGCTGCCGCCGGGGGCGCGGGGGAAACCGGGCGGAGGGTGCGGGGGTACCGGGCTGGAGGTGGGCGGGAAACTGGGCTGGGGGACGCGCTCGGAACCGGAGGCGGCGGAGCTCCTGCAACCCGCGGGCACAGCGACTCCGTCCCAGCGTGGTGCTGGGGGTCCCTGTCCCCGTCCCAGGCCGGGGGGTGCCCGGTTCGGGGTGACCGGGGTCCCGGCCCCGCATGTCCTTGCTGGGGTCTCCTCCCCGTTTCCTCCCCCAGCAGTGAGGCTGCGGCTTCCCCACTGCTCCTCTTCCCCGTGCCCACCATGAGGTGGCAGGAATGGGGTGGCAACGGTGGGGACAGGGACTGGGACTCCGTGTCGTGCCGTGCCATGCTGTGCCGTGACGTGCCAGGCTGTGGTTGCCTACGTGCCAGCAGGCTGGACATGCGACCTGCACTGGGCCAGTGCCCAAAACCAGAGGGAAGTGGGACAGAAGTGGAAAAAGGAACGTGGTGCATGCAGGGACAAGGCAAGGGGACAGCTCTGTCCCCCAGTATCCCCTCTGCCATCTGGGCTGGGCTCACGTTTGGTGTTCCCAGGCACGGTGCTGCTCCTGACACTGGAGGAAGGGATCAGGAGAATTCCCAGAGAATTCCCATGTTGGGAGGGATCATACAGGGCACAGAGGGGCTGAGCCCCTCCTCAGCTGCCACCAACCTCCAGCCAATGCGGCTGCCTGGTCCCATCTGGAGCTCCATGGCCGCGTTGGGTGAGCTGAGCTGTGCCAGCAGGGTGGAGCTCCCCGGGACCCCACTGCTCACCCTGGGACATCCAATGGGCACCACGGGCAGGAATGCTCTGGCTGGGAGCTGATCCCCGTCCCCAGCCCCTGTGTCCTGACTCCGCTGTGTCCCACAGGGTCCCTGGATGCCACAGAGCAGGATGGGCACCACGGCCGTGCTGCTGGCCCTGCTCCCCACAGCCACTGCTCAGCCCACGCCGCCCCCGGGCTGCGGCCACGACCTCTCCTCCCTCTACTACAACCTCTGTGACCTCTCGGCGGGCTGGGGCATCGGGGTGGAAGCAGTGGCCAGCCTGGGCGTGGTGACCACCTTCGTGCTCACCATCGTGCTGGTGGCCAGCCTGCCCTTTGTGCAGGACCACCAGAAGAAGAGCTTGGTGGCCACGCAAGTCTTCTTCCTTCTGGGCACCTTCGGCCTCTTCTGCCTGACCTTCGACTTCATCGTGGGGCCAGATTTCTCCACCTGCACCTCCCGCCGCTTCCTCTTCGGCGTCCTCTTCGCCATCTGCTTCTCCTGCCTGCTGGCCCACGCCGTGGCCCTCAACTTCCTGGCGCGGCGCAACCGAGCCCCGCGGGGCTGGGTGACGCTGGCGGCCGCCGTGTCCCTGGCCTCGGTCGAGGTCATCATCAATGCCGAGTGGCTCCTCATCACGGTGGTGCGGCGCGAGGGTGGCCCTGCAGACCCCTGCCAGCTGGCGGGCGCCGACTTCGTCATGGCGCTCATCTACGTCATGGCCCTGCTGGTGGCCGCCTTCGGCGCCGCCTGGCCCACGCTCTGCGGCCGCTACGGCCGCTGGCGCAAGCACGGCGCCTTCATCCTGGCCACCACCGGCCTGTCGGCGGCCATCTGGCTGGCGTGGACCATCATGTACCTGTACGGGAACCGGCGTGCCGGCCGCGCGCCCGGCTGGGATGACCCCACGCTGGCCATCGCGCTGGTGTGCAACGCCGCCGCCTTCCTGCTGCTCTACGCCATCCCCGAGGTGACGCACGTGACGCGGCGCAGCCCCGAGCAGGCCTTCGAGGGCGATGGCTACCCCACGCGGGGGGTGGGCTACGAGACCATCCTCAAGGAGCAGAAGTCGCAGAGCATGTTCGTGGAGAACAAGGCCTTCTCCATGGATGAGCCATCCTTTGGTAGGCGCCAGGGCTCGCCAGGGACCTTCTCGCCCCGTGGCGGGGCGGGCACCGTCCTCTTGGGGACCCTGGGGATGTCCCCACGGGGGATGGTAGTGGAGGGTGGGTGATGAGACGTCTGGCAGTGACCTGCCCGGCGCTGGCGCCTGCTGCTGTTGTGGCTCCCCAGAACTGGCCGGGCTGGGTGTACCAGTTTGGGCTGAGCCCAGCAGCCACAGGGAGCTCCCTCCCTCCCTCCCCAGCGCAGGGTGCCTGCGGCTCCTGCCCCTCTGCCCCAGGCCCACGAGACCCTGCAATAACATGGGGTGGTGACAGTCCCAGTGGGGACTGTGGGCAGGCATGCCAGGTGTCTGCTCCTCATGGGGGAGGGATGGTCCCCCTGAGCAGCACCTGCACCTGAAAGACCCTACAATAACAAGCCATGGCCAGGCAGCAGCGTTGCCATCCCTGGGGACAGGAGTGTCCTGCGGGAAAGGCAGGCAGCTGCTGAGTCAGCTCGTTAAACCTGCTAACAAGGTACAGGGAGCCCCAGTGGGGTGGCACTGGCTCCATGGTGACTGTCCCCGTGTCTCAGCAGCCAAGAAGCCGGTGTCCCCATACAGTGGCTACAACGGCCAGCTGCTGACCAGCGTCTACCAGCCCACCGAGATGGCTCTGATGCACAAGGGGATGGTGAGTGTGACACCAGCGGTGGCCACATCCTGCCAGGAATGACAGGAATGGGGGACAGGGTGTGGGTGGGGTGTTCCTGTCACCCCTGCGTCCCAATGACTGCTCTAACGCGGTGGGGACCTTCCAAGCCTTCCACGCCCGGGATCCCATGGGCTGGGGCGTTCCCGGTCCTGTGACCTCCCACCCCCGTGTCTGTCCCTCAGAGTGAAGGTCCCTACGATGTGATCCTGCCCCGTGCCTCCACCAGCCCCATGCCTGGCAGTGCCAGCTCCACGCTCCGAGCCGAGGACGCCTTCGCGGCGCAGGCGCGGCACTCCAGCATCCCGAGGGACACCCGCGGCTGCCAGGTGGGTGAACGGTGGCTGCAGCGGGGGCAAAGTCCGGCCCTGCCATGGTGACGGGGCTGCCTGGCACCCAGAGCCCCCCTCGGTGGGTCAGGGTACACTGCCGTGGTCCTGGTGCCACCCTGTCCTGGTGCCACCCCGCTGTGCCCACAGGTGCAGTCCCCGTACAGCAGGAACCGCTGGTGAAGCCCCCGTGACGCAGCTCCCGCAGCGCCGGCACAGCCAGGGGCTCGCCCAGCCCCATCCCACCCTGACTGACGTGTGAATGCCACCCCGTGAGGTGTGAGGTGTGAATGCCACCCCATGACGTGTGAATGCCACCCCATGAGGTGTGAATGCCATCCCGGCTGGCAGCCAGAGCCGATTCCTGCCCGTGGGATGCCTGGACAAGGCCCCAGAGCCAGCGCTCCCACCTGCCCGTCCCACCTGGCCATGGACCCCTGATCCCTGCCTCAAGGACTGGCTCCCGTGAGGACACCCCCTGTTGTCACCTTCATGATGCACAGACCCCTCTGCCTCCCCCAGGCCACGGACCCTCCAAAGCTGGGGAGCCCGTGGGACCCCACCCAGGGCACCCCCAGCACCGAGCCCCTGGCCCTGCACTGACCCCCCCAGCCTGGGGACCCCGAGCTGAGCTGGCCCATCCCACCTCAGGGCACAAGGGGACACCAAGCTGTCCCCAGCTCCGTGCCTCTGTTTCCCCGTTGCTGGAGGAGGGGGATCAGTGCCTTGCCGGGGCTGGGGACCAGCCCCCCACAGCTCTGGCCGCTTTCTCCGTGCCTTTCCCCCCCTGCAGGGAGTGGGGAGGGAGCTGGGCCCCTCGCCCTCCTTGTGGCTTTCTCTGCCAAGTTTCCTTTTCATTTTTTTCAGGTCGCCCCAATAAAGGTGGTTTTTCCTATGATGCTGTCACAGGATGCTGGGTGGGGGTCCTGGGTGCTGCTCCCACGGGCTTAGCCCCATGCCCCCCATTCAGGGGAGGGACAGAGAGCACAGGGGGGCTCCGGGCAGGGTCCACGGCACCCCCATCCCCCAGGCGGGGCCGGGATGCCGTGGGCAGATGGGCTGCCGGGCAGGAGGTGGCACGGCACGGAGGACGTGCCAAGGTCGCGGTGGTTTTCCCGCTCGGATTGCCTTCCCCTCCAGAGCCATTTCTCCTCCTCCGGGCAGGAAGCCTGCGGCCAGCAGTGCCATGAATTATTCAGGGCTGGAACGGCCCGGTGGGGGCAGCGGGTGCCCGGGTCTCCTTGAGCCGGAGCCGGGATGGCGGCGCCGGGGCCGCCGGTGGCCACGCGTGCCCTGCACGGTGTCCGCACAAGGGACACACAGCGGGAGGGTGGCACTCGCCACGTCCCGGCCGTGCCTTTAGCTGGCACAGACCCACGCTCCCGGCTGCGGGGACACGGCCGCGGTGCTGGCAGCGGGATGTGGCCGTGCCCCCCGGGCTGTGCTGCGTCAGCCGTGTTTACCTGGCACCTGTGTTTACCTGGTGCCGAGCGGCAGCGGGGACATTGCCCAGCAGCACCAGGCACTCGGTGTCACCAGGGCCACTGTCACCACAGCACACACACGCCTTCCCTCCTACCGCCCGCGGGCACCGCACGGCACAGCGCAAAGTCACCCCCCAAGGGCACCTCCACCTTCCCCGGGACAGCAAAGCCACACGACAAACAGGGTGCAGGGCCTGCCGCGCTCAGGGGTGGCAGGGGACAGCGGAGCGGCCCCGCGGCCGTGCCCAGCCCCTCCGGAAGCGCGGATCCCACCGGCCCCGCCAGCGCCGGCCGCAGCGCGGGGCGGCCCCGCTCCAACAGGGAACGCTTTGTGCCGCCGGGGCCGCGGAACAGCGCAGCCTTTGTCCGGCCAGGTGAGGCAGGCACGGCTGCGCCGAGCCGGGAGCAGCCCCGGAGCCTGCCCGGAGCCGGGGGCTGCCCGGGGGTGGTGGCAGGGCGGTGGCAGGTGGCACTGGGGTGGCAGGGACGTGCCAGCACACCTGGCACCGGGGTCACCGTGACCAGGGCCAGGCAGAGACGCGGGCAGGGCGGTGTGTGGCTGCAGCCCTGGGGCTCAAGCAGGGTCACCAATAGTGACAATAAAGGCAAGTGACACCATGCATGGCAGTCCTGTGGCACGCTCCATGTCCCCAGCACTGCCTCTCTCTCCTCCCACCGGTGCTGAGCCAGGCACTGGGGTCTCCTCACGGCTGAGGAACGAGGCTCCTGCCCCACCAGAGCCCTGCCAGGGCCAGCTCGTGGTGACAGTGACATGCCTGGCACTGCCATCTGCCAGCAGAGCAGTGTCCCTCAGGAAGCCCTCAGGAGTCCCTCAGGAGTCCCTCAGGAACAGGGAGCACAGACACACTCACACCACCGGCACCTTTTACTCCAAGCAAGTCCATAGCACAGCAGGGATGCACTGCAGTGCTGAGCTGTGCAGTGTGGAGCTGTGGGGCTCAGCAGTGACACAGGGACACCAGGACAATGTCCCCCTGGAGTCCCAGGACCTCAGCCCGGCCCAGCCCGGGCGCGCTCCCGCTCCCGCTCCAGCTGTTTGCGCCTCTGGATGTCCCGGTAGGCGCGGATGACGCGGGCTCGCTCCTCCTCCAGGATGCGCCGGCGAGCCATGGACACCACCGGGGACACTGGGGACACGGGGGACGCCTGGCTCCGGCCCAGGCGAGGTGTCAGGAGGAGCTGCTTCCGTCCAGCCTGCAGGCAGAGATGGCATAGCTCAGGGGGGAAGGGTGAGACACCAGCACTGAGCTCCAAGGAGCCATCACCGGCTCGCTGAGGCCACCACTGCCCTCCCAGGTACCCAAAGCGTGGGTGGCACTGTCCCCAGAGCTCACCTGCTCGGCAGGACCCCGTCCCCTGGGCCGGGAGGTGATGGTGGGTGGCTGTGTCACCACCTCTCCGAAGGGCACCGTGTCTGCAAGGGAATGGGGGTCAGTGGGGGACCCTCGGGGTGCCCAGCCCAGCTCCCCCATGTGCTGCCCCCAGGGCTGGGGTCACCTCAGCTCCCCCACTCCCTTCTCACCTTGCATCAGGCTCTTCTCCAGCATAGCCTCCTTCTTCTCCTCCTTCTTCTTTCGAGCTTTCTCCAGCTTCCTTTTCTGAAACCTGAAGAGCCACATTACAGCTGGGGCTCAGGGGGGGACAGGGAGCAAGCAGTGAGTCCCCACCCCACAGGAGCCCCCCAAATCCCACAGCTTTACCCCCAGGAGAGTGAAGCAGGCTCGTGGCCTGTTCCCAGAGATCCATCCCCATGGAAAGGGCACCCACTGCCCCCCACCTGCACCCCAAGACCTGGGCAAGGGGACATGCCACAGGCATGGGCTGGCCCCATCTGGCCCCCAGGGCCTTGCTCTCACTCTTTTTTCCTTTTGGACTTCTCTGGAGCTGTGGCCTCCTTCTCAGGTTCCCTCTGGATCTGGTTTTCCGCGAGGAAGAGCACACGCTGCACCTCCTGCTCCATGCGGCAGATGTAGGAGCGCTCTGACTCCCCCTTGCCCCTCCTGAACCTGGGCACTGGGATATCCCCCGGGGCCCTGGGGCTCTGGCACTTCTTCTGCTGCTGCTGCTGCTTCTTCTCTAGGAGAGACAGGTGACATTTCTGCAGTGGTGACACCATGGGGTCCCTCCAGCCGGCATAGCGCGGCTGGGACGTCACCAGAGGGAGGGGGATGTCCCATGGCAGGATCCAGCTGTGCTGTGAGCTCCCGGGCCAGCCTCTGGGCCACCTGCTGGGGCCACCTGTGTGTCCCACCTGCCACCTGCCTCTTCCCGAGGTCCGGGCGCTTCAGGGCCTCGCGGCTCCGCATGAGCTCCCGCAGGCGGAACGGGATCTCCTGCTCATCAGGATGTTTGGGCTTCATGTTGTCCTTCTTCTCCTTCCTGGGAAAAATGAGCACAGGGAGAGGGCTCCAGGGAAGCACCAGGACCTGGAGGCTGGGACACCAGGACACCGGGACCCGGACACCAGGACACCGGAATCAACGTATGAAGGATGCTGGGATTTGAGCACGGTGGGAAACTGAGACTCAGGCATGGCTGGACACCGGGACTCGGGCACGGACAGACACCGAGAGCCGGGCACGGTAGAGATCAGGACGCGGACACCAAGAACGGGACCCAGGCCAGGGCCCATCCGAGACCCCGCGTGGGTCCAGCTCCCAAACCGGGAGCGATCCCGACTGGATCCCGCGGGTACTGACCTGCTGCGCAGTGGCACGGGCGGTCCATGTTCCGATCGCGGTCCCGCTTTCTGTCCCGGTCCCGCTTTCCGTCCCTGTCCTGGTCCCGCTTTCTGTCCCTTTCCTGCTCCCGGTCCCGCTTTCTGTCCCTTTCCTGCTCCCGGTCCCCGGCCCTGTTTCGGTCCCGATCCCGGTCGTTGTCCCTGTTTCTGTCGCGGTCCCCGGGCCGGTTTCTGTCCCGGTCCCCGTCCCGGTCCCGGTGCCCGGGCCATGGTTCCACCACTCCTCACGTGCCCGCTCCGCCGCCACTTCCGGCTTTCTGGCCCCGCCCCCTGCTGCTTATTGGTCGCACTTCCCCGCCACTCCCGCCCTGCTGAGCGCACCGGGCTGCTATTGGCTGCAAGAGCTGTCACTCGGGGCGGGGCCAGGGCCAGGGGCTGAGGCCGGATGCTGCTGCGGGGGCTGGCGGGGGCGCGCCGGGGGGTGAGCGGGGACAGGGGGGGACACCGGGGGGACAACGCGGGGACAACGCGGGGCTGGGCGTGGGGAGACACGGGGGAGTCCTCGGGAGGGGCCAGGAGGTGCTGGGCGTGAGATGTGAGCGAGGACGGGGGTGGTACTGGGGTGTCATGGGGGGTGCTGGGGATGGGGAGGGACAAGGGGGGCTTGGGGGAGATGGGGGAGATGAGGGGACAAGGGGGGCTTGGGGGAGATGAGGGGACAAGGGGGGCTTGGGGGATGTGGGGAGAGGAGGGGACAAGGGGGGAGATGGGGATTGAGGGGAGTGGGGGGAACAAGGAGGGGATGGGCATGGGACTGAGGGGGGTGCAGGGAATGGGGTGGGAGCCAGGAATTGGGGGTGTTGGAAGGGGGATATGGAGGTGCTGATAGTGGGGGTACATTGGGAGCAGGGAATAGGGTGGGGAGCAGGAATTGGGGTGTTGGAAGAGGGATATGGAGGTGCTGATAGTGGGGGTACACTGGGAGCAGGAATTGGGGG